TAACAGGAGTAGTGCTCCTACTGGGTCGGATTCGGTCGGGTTTGGAGAATATATCTGACTCGACCCGGCAAAAATAGAAATAATCTGATTTTAACCCGACCCGAGTATATTTAATTCGAATAATCCGGGTTAGACCCGAAATTTTCATTGGATAATATACTGTATGCTTAGTAATATATCAAAAATATATAATTTTTTCAATAACGCAAGGTAATTGATTTACAAGATGATCATAAAGGTCACACAACTTTTTGTTATTAAAACTAAAGCTAAGCACGAATTTAAAGATATCTTCAATTCCTGTTTATTTATTGCTTTATATTTGAATTATAAAATCGAAATTATATCACTTGCTTTAACAGAAATTTGACTATACCTTATATCTGCCAGGACTTTAAATATGCTCTAATTGTATCTGCTTTAAGACTAAATCTTTTTGCAGCTATCAAATCGGTTCTACCGGAAACTACTGGAATGCTGATTGCTTTATTAATCATCAAAATCAACTTATTAGTTAATGTAATATTAATAATTAAAATAATAATTCATACACACTAAGTGGGGATATACTACCTCATTCATCTAACAAAATTATATAACGTAATCAATATTAACGTGTTTTCAATATGTGATCAGTGATTTTAATGATCATCCGGGTCTAATTTGGGTCAAAACTCGAGTCAAGGAAATGAATGACCTGACCCGATGGGTCGGGTCATGTGGGTCACGGGTTATTAAAATTGTTAGTACCGACCCGATTTAAAATTCACTCGGATTGAATTATCTGGGTTAGACCCGAATTTTGCGGAGCACTAAACAGGAGAGATTTTTTTTTTTATAGAGAATTCATTGAATTTTTTTTTTTTTAGAAAATTCTTTGGAGAATTTTTTTGATAGGAAAGATTTTTTTTTGATAGAAAATTTCGTTAAGAATTTTTTTTAATAGGAGGGAGTTTCCTTGATAAAGAATTTCTTTTGGGAATTTTTTTTAATAGGTGAAAGTATTTTTTGACGGAGAATTTTATTAGAGAATTTTCTTTTTAATAGGGGGATTGTTTTTGATAGAGAATTTCATTAAAGAATTTTCTCTAATAGGAAGATAAATAATTTTGCTGAGAATTTTTTTTTTTTTTGATATTTTTGATAGAAATTTCATTATAAAATTTTTTTTTAATAGGTAAGATTTTTTGTAAATTTTTTTACAGGGGAGATTTTTTTTTGATAGAGAATTTCGGTAAAGTTTTTTTTTTTAATAGGAGGGAAGTTTTTTTTTGATATAGAAATTCTTTTGAGAATTTTTTTTAATAGGCAAGAATCTTTGAATTTTTTTTAATAGGGAAAATGTGTTTTTTAATGGGAAATTTTCGTTAGAAATTTTCTTTAATAAGAGATATTTTTTTGATTGAGAATTTTATTAGAGAATTGTTTGTTGAAAATTTTTTTTTATTTTTTTGATGGAGAATTTTGTTTAGAAATCTTAATAGAAATTTTATTGAAAATAGTTTTTTTTTTAATAAGGGTATTGAGAATTTCATTTTTACTTTTTTTTTTTTTTTAGAAATGCTGAATTTTAAGGTAAATAGAAATGGGTGAGATGCGAAATTGTTTTTTAATATTCATTGTGCTAACAGCATTTCAACATTTTTTTTCTTTTTTTAGAAATGCTAAACTAATTAAATTCTGAGGTGAATATCATAGATAGTAGTAGTGAGACACGAGATTTGCTTTACTATTTTTTGCCTTCCAACATGATACACAGTGAAATTTGATAAACTGATCTATCGGTTCCATTAAAAATATCCGGTTTATCCCGGTATAGCAAAAAAATTTTGATATACTGAAAACCTATTATACTGAATTTTCAAAATATTTCATGTTAATAGAACTAATACACGCTATAATTTAATTTTTCATCTTAGTTTTAACATAGCAGAAACTTATAATTTTAAGACAACGCTTTCACTATAATGTAACATCATGGTTGTAATAACGTGATAATGCATTATACATTAGCGCAAAGTTACAATACAATCATAATGCTATGACAGTGTTGTTAGATATATCGTAATGATGCTGTGACGGAATTTAAGTTTTTCAATGTAAAAAATGGTAAACTATTTTTTTATATTAATAAATTTCAGAATTGTCAAAACGTAGTTATAATACTTATAATTGCATGATGATAACATTAAAACAGTATTAAAATGGTATTACAACAGATCGTCTAAAATAATCAATTTGAACAATATAAACAATATGGTCGTAATTTTCCATTTTACATTCAAAAATATTACTAATTAACAATTTTATGTACAGATAAATATTTAACATTTATTATAAAATAAATTATACAGAAACCATTAAACAAAAATATGAATATATAATACCGCAAAAGACTGCGGTCCTACGTGATCCAAATTTATATATGTCAATCATTCTTATCACAAACAATTAACCAATTACCTACATCCATCTGTGATCATGAGAATCATAAACTTCGTAGCCACGCTCAATTAAAGCAATGTATTACTAAACCTACGCTAAAGATGACTTTAGCAAGGCATTTTTTTGTGAAATAAAAGAAATTTCATACACTTTGCCAGCTGGTGGGATAGCTTAGCATCAGTAAATTTTTTAGGGCATTGAGATCCCCCAATTCCCTCTGTCATCAATTTACAGAGTTGCCACATCGAACGGGCATTCTCATGGTCGAACGAACGAATGAACAAACGAACGAACAATTGAACGAACGAGCAAATAATCAACAGCATAATTAACAAATAACATAATCAATGAACAATATACAATAACATTCTTGGTTCACAACATAAATAGCGTTAGTAATATAAAACATCAAACGATATAAAATAAAATTAACTTCTCTAAATTTTCCCCAAATTATATCCACTTTTACCTTTAATTTCAAACTTCGATAGCTCTCGCTACGAATTATTACCTTTCAAAAGTATATATTTAATTCATCTTGAAAATTTCCATTTTATTCAATTAAAATTAATTAAACAAACATTAATTAAAGTTTAGGGCGAACCTATTACCTCTAATTAATATTAAACTTTACTAACAAATAATTAAATGAAACTTATATTTTTATTGAGTTCTGTGGATGAGAACTGTGGAATTACTAGAGCTCCGAACAGGTCAGCCAAATTCAGGTAACCTGACCTGACCTGACCTGAAATTCAGGTCAGGTATGAGATTTTTGAAAAAAATTCAGGTCAGGTATGAAGATTGACCTGACCTGATTGACC